TAAACTAATTAAAATAATTAAAAAAAGTATTATATCTAGAAAAAAATTTAAATAATAAAGGAATAAAAAAACCAATTATGTGATCTAGAAATAAAAGAAATTTAAATAATAAAATAATTTTAAAACTTGAAACAATTCAAAATTTTTTCAAGACAGTAAAGGATATGGCCTTCGACTAACGTTTTTATAAGTGTGCTTTCTTTGTTATTTATTGGTTCATAAAAACGAACCAATAAAAAAAAAGAAAAATATCACACTTGGTACGTGTGACAAACGGATGTCACGCTTCGTACGCATCACGAGCGACTGTTACGCTCGGTACGCATGACGTACGCGTTATGTCACGCCTACTAAGCATGACATAGCGTGACCAAGGTTCCGAATGGACTTCAGAAACAAAATGTTTTCGTACACTTTGTTTAACTTAGTAAAATGTACGTGTACACTTAGCTTTCGCGAGCAAAGGGTAGCAAAGTGTATAGATTGAAATTTATCATATAATCTAGAAAAAATAAACGTGTTCATTTTTAATATCTGTTCAGAAATATAAAACAAATGTATAACATTAAATAAACAACATATATGCATACAAGTATTACTTAATATGACATCAATAAGAACATATTTGTGAAAAAAAGGTACATATGAACATTGTACTTTAGCAAAAATCAATCAAAACTTTGATCTTCATCTTCTTCATGATGCATATCTACATGATCATCACAGAACCATATTGAATCAATATTTATACCAAGTTTGATTCTACAATAATTGCATAACCATCTTGAGCAGTTCTCTTCGGAATCAATCCATCGAAATTGTTCATTTTGATGACAACACTGTATAGCTTCATTTTGACTTGGATCAGTTTCAGAAACTTCTCGTTTACAACCATTAGCACCTAAAAGAGTAATTAAAAATAACTAGGGACAGAAAAAGCTTTAACTTACATTTTATATGTTTTGATTTTGTTTTCTGTTTCTTGTTCACGAATTCTGATTGAAGACGATCCCGACTTCGCTTGGAAACTGAACGAACTTGATTTACTGGTGTATAGTCATCTGGTACGTCGAGTAATAGTTGCATTTGATGATAACGACGATTGTAATCATTGTCATTCCAAGATTCAAAAGCTTTATTAACAACTTGTTGACATCTCGGACTAAGAAATAGACATATTAGAGACCAAAAGAAATTTTTCAGTTTACCTTCTTAAGTCATCTTTTAACAACATTCTTACAGTCATTAAAATATCTAATGTTGAAATCTTTAAACGTGATCTTCCTGTTGCTTGAATACGATTAATAGCAGAAAACTAGAAATACAAAAATCAATATCATAGATAGTTGTGAAAACTCAATATTTCACGTACACCTCTCTCACATTCAGCAGAATTAGTTGGCGAAATTAAATAGATATTCATCAAGAACAAAATATTATTATATTGACGTAGAAAATCACTATTTGTTGTAGTCTTTAAAGTAATAAAGTCTTTCCAGAAAGTTTGTTTCAACTCAATTGTAGAAAAACTATTTACGAAATCACTTAAAGACTGTTTGAAAGACTCCCATTCATTACGAACAATATTTGAATCAAAACCAGGAAATTTTTTGTATTTTTGACGAAGAAAATCAAGTTCAGCTCGACCATAATTAAGACAACCAATATTTTTCTTGTTCGTTAGTAAATATTGTGGATCAAATAATATAGATAAACTTTCTTGAACTTTAGATGGAGTAAATCGTCGATCTAATTCTCGTAGAAGTCGATGAATATGTTCCAGACAATCATTCAAAAATTTTTTACGATCACCTAAATTTATTTTAAAACTTCCATATAATGCTTCAGTTGTCAATAGAATATATTCTGATAATGCAGGACTGAGTGTTGATGTTGAATGATAATATGTCCAATTTTCTAAAATTTTTCTTTTTTCTTTGATCATTTCCATCAAAGAAAAATAAGAAATCTTATCATTCTGCATCATCTTCGTTAATGGAGCTGAAAGGTTTTCAAAAGTAATGGTAACAGTAAATAGTATTTCTAAAGAATAATGAACTTACCTAGAACAGTTTCATGAAGATCATAATGAAAATGTAAATTAAATAAGAATTCATCGTTCAGAATAGATTTTAATAAATTTTTTGCTGATTCACGTTCAGCAGCAGACAATATAACATCACTTGTTGTTTCTTGTAGATAAGCCAATAGTGATTGAGAACCTAAATAAAAGCAAATTTAAAAGATTTTACACAATTATTTGTATATTTACAGACCTGGTTGTATATTTACAATTATTGGATTAATACAATCTTTGATAGACGACCATCTAATGTCAAATATTTTCTTGAATTTCATTTCTGGTAGATCTAGATAGTTTTGCCACTGTTTGAACTTGAATTGTCGTGTACTACTTCGGCTAAAATGACTATATATTTTACTAATTGTAGTTTCAAAATTTAAAATTGAATCATGAAGAACGAATGTTTCATTTCCTGTAACGAATACAAAATATTCAATTATTCATGCAGAAAATACTACATACGATGAACCTTCGACTTGTAACATGCATGGCTACCTACTAAAGAAAATGTATGTGCAGCACATGGATTCAGTTCCAACCAATCACAAGCAAATTCACGACGTATTTTAGCTACAACACCTTCATGTACTCCTGAAAGTATTGAATACAGCATTATCAATTACTTTTTTGTATGATAGAGTACCAACCGGTGAACGTGCTAGCATTGTCTGTCGCCAACCAGCAAGTTTTTGAAACATGTATATCATCCTTTTGCCATAGAGAACTAAGTGATTTAACAATATTACTTGCTGTACCATCACCTTCGAGATCAATTAAACCATAATAAGCTGTTTTAGGTTCAAAATTATCGATATATCTGACAAATACGATGCAGCTTTTTTCGACTGTACGAGAAGTTGTTTCATCTAGCATCCAGCCTGTAGCACAAGCCCACTACGACACATTAAATAAAGATAATTTTTTATGTTTAACATACCGACGACTGGACTAGATTGTATTTTTTCTACTAGTTCATCATGAAGATAGGAAGATATATGTTGTATAAAGCCCATAGCAGCCTCACTATTACGATACGATATACCTGACACTTGAGCAGGCAGTATTTGAACACCTAATTTTTCCAACAAGATGCATAAAGGTTCAATTGATGATAATGAATTGTCTTGTTGGCACATGTAAATACATGAGAACATCAAATTTTGAATTGCTTGCTCATGCTTCCCGACCTCTTTTTCTCTTGTTATATGCCAATCTGGTTGTGTTCGAGAAGATACTAATAGTTCTTGTTGTTCAGCTTGTTTGTGAATTTCACTTTTGTCTTTATGTTGCTTGATCTTATCCAGCGAGAATATTTTCATTCCACTGGTACACCATACATTTTCCTTTCCTGCACAAAGGATTATTATCTCAACAGTTTCAATTAAAACCCTCCAAGATGCCTAGATTGCGGCAAGCTCAATGTCAGATAATCAATATTAATAAAATTTATAAATATTCTTTCGAGAATTTATATTACATCGAAAAGAAAATAAATAAATATAACGATGTACGTCTTTGAACTATAGCTCTCAGACTAATATACGACTTCACAACTCATACATTCACAAGCAAAAAAACTATAACTCACAGCTGTGTTTTTTATGTATCATAGAATTGAAGATCATAAATTAGTGAAACTGAATTTGTTCAGTATGTAGTTTTTTTTTATATTTGATTTTTATTTTTCTAAACATTTTTCATAATGTATGTTAACAATGATGTAGTAATATATAACAAGACATGGATGTATCCATGTAAATATAATCATTCCAAGAAAACAGAACAATATATAATAATTGAAATGATGATGATAATAATTTTTAGAGCTGTTGAGCTCTTAGAATTACCATCAGTGTCATAATAATTATGTGTATGTACCAATGAGGGATGCAATTAGATTTATTATACTTATATAGATACATAGATGCCCTGTTATATGTTACTACATCATTGTTAACCGACATTATAATAAATGTTTAGAAAAATAAAAGTAAAATATAAAAATAATTTAATATAAATAAAGCTACATGCAGATCAAATTCAAATTAAGTAAATTACAACTCACAAGATATGTGTATACATGTCTTGTTCTAGAACTAATTATATAATAATCAGTACATTCTAATAACGAATGCAAAAAAATCATAAAATATAATGGACAGAACAAAGCGAGTAAGACACAATAATAAGAAATAAATAGATTGCAATACAGGTAACGACGCATAGTGCCGTTACATCCCCTGCCACCGCACTCTCAGCTATTAGAACATCTATGCGAGAAACTAGGTGAAATGCATACTAGAAGACCTAAGGTCTTTTATTGAATGGTGATTTAATCTGTCTTTGCAGAAAATAATTAAAACTTTTAAACACGAACTGAAAGTATATCAAAAACCACAAACAAAAACAATTTTTAAATATGATATCTTACCGTTGGTATTTCTTCTTTTTTGATACTTTTCGCACAGTCGGCAACGCATGGCATTGTTTTCATAGTATAACCAGCACATAAATGATTCATGTTTACCACCAAAATCGTCAAAAATGAAAGTTTTAAATTGTGCTTCGACTTTCTTTTCCCATTGAGATAGATATTTGGTACGATGCTTGGAGCTAGCAGATGTTATACGTTGTTTTTCAGTACCTTCAGCAATGACAGAAATACAATTATGATCAATTAACAAATTTATTGATTTATGATTTTTACCTTTACCAATGATTTCACATTCTGAATCATCTAGTAATGTTCGTTGTATTACGGTAATATTATTTTGATATGAATCTAAACCACGTTCTAGTTCTACTGAAGATGACGATAAACCACATTCTGTTTCTAATGAAGATGAAGACAAACCACGTTCTGGTTCTACTGATGATGATAAACCACATTCTGTTTGTAATGAAGATGAAGACAAACCACGTTCTGGTTCTACTGATG